ATATACACATATACACACATACATACATATACACATACATACATATATATATGCATACATATATACATATATACAACCACACACACACACACTATATATATATATATACATACACATACATATACATATATATTTACATATATACATACATACATATACACACACCCATACACACATATATATAGGCACACACGTACATATATAGCGTAACAATTATTAACCTCTTCTCTTATCATCTACCATACCTTCCACCTAATATATACATATATACACACACTCACATATATATACACATACACACACACCCACACATATATATATATTTATAAAAAAAAAAAAACAATAAATACATACACCAACCTACACATTCCTCAGTGCTAATACTCTAACCAACACATAAATAAATATATACACATTTGCCCAACACTAATAACACTATGCAGGTATACAATACACACTTATATCGTAAGTATGACCATCATACAATAAAAACACTAATCTATTAAAAAATACAGCGACATATCATTATCATTTAAAAGTATACAACCCCTACACTAAGTTAAATTTATAACGGTGTTTACAATTTACTGTAAGTTCATATCTTTGATTTAAGAGATCAGCCTTGTTTTTAAATCTAATAATTTCAAATTTTTCATTAAAGGCACAGGTAACATGGGGTATATAAAACAGTTACATGTACGAGCTTTCTTAACCAAACTCCATTTAACCGTAGGTGTTTTGTTTTCTTATCTTTTAGATTCCAAAAATACTTGGATAATGAAGTCATGTACCTATATTCACTGTGATTAAAAAAGGATTGCATATGCCCCCGCCAACGTTCCTTGAATGTTTTCATGGTAGAACCAATGTAAAACTTCTTTATATTTGGATTTTCAATTGTTGAAATAGTACCAAGATAGACTACAGAAGTAATTCCACAGTTAGTTTGTAGTGGACAATTATTCAGATTCCTACAATTACATAAGTTGTTATTAGTATTCTTATAATTAGTATTGCAGTTAGTAACCTGTTGATTAGTCAAGCCTTTTGAATTCCTATACTTGTTAAAAACTATGTTGTTATGTTTTTTAATTATCTGCTCCAGGTTATCAGCACAACTATAGCTTAATTTAAGGGTATTAGGATTAAATATTTTACTAAGTGGGTTAGTTTCTAGCTTTTGTAACAATGCTCCCCCTAGTGTAGGATCGTTAATTAATCTGAAACTTTTTAAAACCATTTATTTTATTTTCAACATCATCACTTGAGAAGACACAGAATGTGTTTGAAACAAAATAGCTATTTTGTAGTGATCTTATAACATACTTATGTTATAATTTTTTATAAAAATAATTATATCTGCTCTACTTTTGTATTGAGCACTCTTTTAAAAATAGTAATTGTTGGTTATTGGAATTCATTCCGTATATACCAATTATATACTTTAAAGTATATATATATATATATATATATATATATATATATATATATATATATATATATATATATATATATATATATCAGGGACAAGGGATCTACAGATACTTGGCTACTTTGTCAGTGATAAAGATGACATTTGTGCTATTGGTGGAGATCTCTCTGAAGATATTGATGAACTAAATCCTTTTGCAATATCAACAGCATGTCTGGATGAAAATGTATCAATCCAGAAGACCCAAAGATATTTTGATCCAGAAAACTGAAAAGCTGCCCAACGTGTTTATGGAGTCTTGAGATCGTCAGCGCTGCGGTTGCGTGAGTCGTGTAGGTAGGACATGGATTCTGTGGTCTGTGACTCTTGTCTTCAGTGGGTGAACTTGTAGTTTATTGGCAAGAAAACCATCTCATGTTTTGGATTTGCAGAGACTGTTTTGCTTAAAATGTTTAAAATATTCAGAGATATTTCTTTTAATAACTGATGATGAATAAATCATTTTAACTTGTTTTTTGACAATTGATGGCGGGAAAGATTTTAAATTGTCTTAACAACTGATGGTGAAAATCTGTGTGTTGTTATTTTTAACATTACCTGCCATCATAATAATAATAATATTTACCGGCAAAATAGCCTGGGGGCTATTTTACCAAGACCGGTAAAATAAGCTTAAAAGCATGATAACCTATTTTACCGAAACCAGCAAAATCGCTTATTCCTATTTTTCAAATATATACAATTTGTCCACATAGATCGCTCCGTATTTTCATCTGATTCGATTGTCTCGACTGCTTCTCGATTGGCTCTTTAATTTCCCCATCTCTTTACCAGCTCTGAAATTTTATATGACCACCAAGTTTTTTGCTCCAGTCCAAATTCTTCAGTTTAAATGATTTGTTTCATTTTAGAATCAAATTAATTCCCAATTTTACCAGATATTTTCTTCTTATTTGCGTCATAATTTTATCATTTTTAACAGAGGATAAACTTGTGGAATTAATTGAATTTTCTTCCTATTTTTCTTGGGTTTTTTTTTGTCTTTGTTTTCTTCTCTTCTTTACGTTTTCTCTTTTCAATTTTCTCTTTCCTTCTCCTTCTTCAATCCTTGTTTTTTTTTTTTTACTTGCTTTACTTTCGCCCCCCTCTGAATTTATCTTTCTTCTTTCTCTCTCTTTTTTTCCTTCACATCTTTTTCATTCTATTTTTCCTTCATTTCCCCTTTATTATTTCCTTTATCTTCCTTTTTCTGCTTCTTTTCTTTTCCTCCTCCACTCTCTCCCTCCCTCCCTTGATGATCTTCCCATTCTTACCCTTCTTCCTCTTCTTCGATCTTCTTGTGTTTTTATTTAATTTCTCTTCGTCGTTTTTCTACTTCTTCTTTCTCCTCTTCTTCTTCCTTTTCTTCTTCTTCTTCTTCTTCCTTCTCTTCTTCTTTCTCTTCCTCTTCTTCTTCTTCCTTCTCTTCTTCTTCTTCTTCTTCTTCTTCTTCTTCTTCCTTCTCTTCTTCTTTCTCTTCCTCTTCTTCTTCCTTTTCTCCTTCTTCTTCTTCTTCTTCTTTCTCTTCCTCTTCTTCTTCTTCCTTCTCTTCTTCTTCTTCTTCTTCTTCTTCTTCTTCTTCTTCTTTCTCTTAAACTCTTTCTCTTCTTTCCTATTTTCTTTCTCATTATCTTCTTTTTCTCCTTTTATTCTCTTTCTCTTTCTTTTCGTATTATTTTATTCTTTCTCTTCTAAATTTGTCTTCGTCTTTTTCTTCTCATTCTCCTTACACGCTTCTTTCACTTCTTATCCTCTTGCTTCTCTCTTTCTCTACATCTTTCACTTCTTCTTCTTCTTCTTCTTCTTCTTCTTCTTCGTCCTTCTCTTCTTTTTCTTCCCCTTCTTCTTTCTCTACCTCTTCTTATTCTTCCTTCTCTTCTTCTTTCTATTGTTCTTTCTCTTCTTCTTTATTTTCCTACCCTTTTCTTTTTTTCTCTTCCTATTCTCATCTTCTTCCTCTCTCTACCACTTCGTATCCTTCTTTTTCTTCTTCTTCCTCTTCTTCTTTCTCTTCCTATTCTTATTCTTCCTTCTCTTCTTCTTTCTCCTCTACTTTCCCTTCTTTCTTTTCCTACCCTCTTCTTCTTTCTCTTCCTATTCTCATCTTCTTTATCTTCTTCCTCTTCTTCTTTCTCTACCACTTCGTATCCTTCTTTCTCTTCTTCTTCCTCTTCTTCTTTCTCTTCCTACCCCCTTCTTCTTTTCTCTTCCTATTCTCATCTTCTTCCTCTCTCTACCACTTCATATTGTTCTTTCTCTTCTTCTTCCTTTTCTTCTTTCTCTTCCTATTCTTCCTTCTCTTCTTCTTTCTCCTCTTTTTTCGCTTCTTTATTTTCCTACCCTCTTCTTCTTTTCTCTTTTTATTCTCATCTTCTTCCTCTCTCTAACACTTCGTATCCTTCTTTCTCTTCTTCTTCCTCTTCTTCTTTCTCTTCCTATCATCTTCTTCTTTCTCTTCCTACCCCCTTCTTCTTTCTCTTCTTCTTCCTCTTCCTATTCTCATCTTCTTTCTCTTTTTCTTTCTCTATATCTTCTTATTCTTCCTTCTCTTCTTTTTTTCTCTTCCTATTCTCATCTTTTTATCATCGTCTTTCTCTTCTTTTTTCTCTATCACTTCTTATTCTTCCTTCTCTTCTTCTTTCTCCTCATCTTTCGCTTCTTCTTTCTCTTCTTCTTTCTCTTCCTATTCTCATCTTCTTTCTCTACCACTTCTTCTAATTCTTTCTTTTCTTTCTCTTCTTCTTTCTCGCCTATTTCTTTTCCTTCTTATTTTTTTTAATTCCAAGTAGCAAATAACAGAGTTAATGTGAATATTTCGTATCAAGAACATGGAAAGTGGGTTTTAAGATTTTATTTAGCAGAAATCGATTCTTCTCCCCACCCCCTTGGTGTTTTCTTTGCGGTGGGGCTGAGGTAGTAAATGGGGCGTTGGCCTAAAGGTGGGAAATAATCAGCACATTTCTTCCTGTTCATCGAGGGGATTTTAAATCTTTATTTGTTAATATTACAAATAAAAGTCGATGAATAATTTTAGTGATTATTCATTCGGGTACTGCGAATTTAAATTATCCTGACGTCTGGAGGAAAAAGAAATAAAAATTCCTGTGACGCGATAAACTGCGAGAAGCAACGAGAAGTGAATCATTTATTACCAATATCGAATGTTACTCATCAAAATAAACTTAATAAGAAACTATTTTTATTTTTCAGTTATTAAAAAAAAGAACAGTAAATCACATCTTTTCTTTTTTACAAGTACAAATGTTAACTTTGCCAACTACTTTTCAGAAGATTAGATATGACATAAAAGGTAAGTCCTCTTTGCTTCTAACGAAACTTTCCTCAAATTTCATTTGCTAATTTTGGCAGATAGATGAATGTTTCAATATAGATAGATAGATAGATGATAGAAAGGCATTAATAGAACAAAGAAGATAATGAATAGATAGATAGATAGATAGATAGATAGATAGATAGATATGAACAGATAGATAAATAGATAGATAGGCATTAATAGATAGATAGATAAGACGTGAAAATAGATAGATAGTGAATAGATAGATAGATAGATAGATAGATGGTTTGAACAGATGAATAGATGGATAGATAGATATAGATGGCATGAACAGATAGATAAATAGATGAGATAGATAGAAGATAGATGGATGAACAGATAGATAATAGATGAATAGATAGATAGATAGATAGATAGATAGATAGATAGATAGATAGATAGATGGTTTGAACAATAGATAGATAGATAGATAGATAGATAGATAGATAGATAGATAGATAGATGATAGGCGTGAATAGATAATGATAGATAGATAGATGAATAGATAGATAGATAGATAGATGGATAGATATGGATAGATGGATAAATAAGATGGATGGTTTGAACAGATGGATAGATGAATAGATAGATGGATGGATAGATAGATAGATGGTTGAATTTTTAGCTATGGCTGGTTGAATTTTTTAGCGGCATATCAACCACTATGGTTTCTTTAATGCCGAAATCAAAATATTTTGGAAACAATTTTATGACTTCAGCTAAACATATTTTAAACGCTATTTTTGCCTTCAACTACAGATAAAATGTATTGCTGGTCATTTTATTATAAAAATGTATTTTTATACTTTCATAGTGTTTTGTTTTTGTTTGAAGGTTCACTATTTACCCATAACTGGGACCCTAACAGGTGTTACCACCCTCATTTAGAGTGGACCTGGGAACAACAGCAATTAAGAGGTCGTTACATGCTCCTCAAAACCTCCAATTTCTCTTGCTACCAGATGTAGTTAATCGTCATACCCAGGACGAATGATCAGCAGTGGAACTGCGTTGCCAAAAATATGAATATACTCCCGTCCTAAGTACACCCCAACGAAAAAGAAAGATTATTTCATTCGGCAATCTGTCTATATCTTTGAAACGAGGTATTATGATGACATTATTCGAAACTGTTATCCTCATCTTCATTGCCATATTCAAAACGTTTCGGCCGTCGTACGCACCTCCCTTTTTCAGGCGATTTGAATGTCGATCGAACCCTTTATTTCGTCCACCGGGGTAGATTGTTCTAATTCCAAGTGCCATGCCTCTTCTGGATGCCTCAGTTATTTCCCTTTTAACACAACTCTCCATGTTTGGGTTCACCACTGCTGTGGCCTGGTATTGAACTCACAACTCTTTGGGTCTAGTCACTGGATCTAACTAACATCTTTATCCACTGGGCCAAGAGTTGTGAGTTTAGCGAGAAAAAAAACGCGAAAAATGAAAAATCGATTTCAACACAAATTTTAAACTAAAAACTCCCTCAATTTTCAAGCAATCTAATACAAACTTCACTCAAGTGCAGTCAACAATAAGTTTATTGTTTAACAGTCATTTAACTTGATAAAGGAGTCAATCCATATTGTGAAAACCCGCGTAAATAGCGAAAAATGGCGACTTTTATTGGTTTCTTTCTTATTTTTCGTTGATCTTTCAACTAATTTTTATCAAACTTAACAATTGCTTTATATATATATATATATATATATATATATATATATATATGTGTGTGTGTGTGTGTGTGTGTGTGTATTTGTCAGTGCGTAAAATCCCTGGTAGGACACTGACAAATTGAATTTCAAAAACTCAAAAATAATTGTGGTCTGAAGTGGGTCTTCATGTTGCCTGTTTTACCTCTTTATGTCCTCAACTAACTTCGATTGAATAAATACAGACTACTTCTGTTATATCAGTAACTACATGAATTCTAAATGTTTTAATGAAAGTACTTTAAAGTAATTAAAGGAGATAGACTCTGTTACATCTAAACATGATGCTCTTTTTGCTCCGTTCTAATTGAACGCTTTTTTCTGATGATCAGTTAGGTATGCTGCTAAACTATATATAAAATTCTGTGATTTCCGTTAATCCGCCCACACGTCACACCCGCTAAAATAGTTATACATTGACCGATCAAAACCAAATTTTGGGGAGATGTGTAAACAGGTAGTGGGTACAAAGTACAATTGGTTTTACTAGGGTGTGTAGCTGAGTACAATAATTTTTCTTTTTTTGGAAAAATTAAAAGTTTTATTATTTAGCATACAAAAAATACTCTCACTGTTTTAAAAACAATTTAGTGATTAAAATAACAAATAATCATACTTATAAAACCCAGATTATGTGTGTGTGTGTGTTCGTTTATATATGGGATCGGATTTCCTACATTTTTCAACCGATTTCAACAAGACTTCACTTTTTTTGGCAGGTAGTGTTTCTTATTGTCTTGCACACTTTTTTCTTTATTTTTACATTCTGGATTCTTTAAAAATTTCATTTATGAGACAATTGTTTATAATAAAATTCTATTCAATCGATAGACTCATAACGATTGAAAACAATGTTTTTGTTTGAGTTTGGGTTTGACCAATTCGTAAAAAAAAACCAAAAAAAAACCAAAAAAAAAACTAATTAAGACATGTGTGTCCGTCAACCTTAAACAATAATCTTTGTCAATTTTATTTTTCAGTCTTTATGATGGTCGATATTTGATCTAACTCTTACTGTTACATCCCCGGGCAACACCGGGCTCTACTGCTAGTTATTTAATAAAAATGCAATTTTTTTTCTGCATATCTTTTAGTCGATTGGTTTGCGCATTTGAACGAAATGTAGAGTTTTTAAATCTCGACAAAAATTTTAATTTCAACAATACGAAATTCTCGTATGCATATATTTTTGAAAATCTTCACTTTTTCCATATGAGTATATAGACATTTACATGGATTATTTTTATGGGGGAGTTTTACAAATTTAATAGAAATAGAAAATGTTGATGGATTTTTAAACTTAAATATATGTACAATAATTTGTTTTAATTCGTAACCAATTATTAAATAAATAAACTGAAGAATACTGCAATAAAAAAAAGTTCAATAAAAGGTCAGAGTATTTAAATCGATTTTATTCTAATGAATATTACAGTGAATGAGAAACTTGTAAAAAATTAAAAGATTTTCGAAAATGTATCGCTGGTAGTAATCTTTCCAAAAATGTATTGCTGGTATTAAAACCTATTTTTACACTTTCATAGTGCTTTGAACCCAGCTTGGTGGTTAACCAATTACCCATAACTGGGACCCTAAGAGGTGCTACCACCCCGGGTCAGGGTGGACCTGGGAACACCAGCAATTAAGAGGTGATTCCACGCTCATCAAAACCTCCTGATCAGAGGCCTTGCTGTTGGATGTAGTTTATCGTCTTACTCAGGACGCGGATGTAGTTTATCGTTAAAAAAATTCGTAAAATCTAAAAATAGTTTCTGGCTTTAAATAACCTTCACAAATGGTTGATAAGCCGTAGAAAAATGAACGAATCAATCAATCAATGAGGCATATATCGATAAGCCAAAATTTCAATAGAATGCCAGGCCATTGTAAATCAATAAACAGAAACTTCGATAAAAGTTCAGGGTATTTAAATCCATTTTGTTCTGATGAAGACTACAGTCAATGGGAAACTTGTGAAAAAGTAAACGATTTTTCCGCCTCCGCTCCCAGGAAACCGTGAAATCTGAACCCCTCCCCCCTCCCACAACCACCAACATTTGAGAATTCCTGCTTCATTCGAAGAAAAAGTTTACGGCCACATCACGTTGAAACAACGCTTCTCGTACGATCACCGAAGTTAAGCAATGTCGAGCCTGGTCATTACCTAACTTGGTGACCACTTCCCCAAGTGTTGGAAGCTTCTGCCGACAACTATGATCTCATGAGTAGAACTACTATCAGTAAATCATTATTATCTCCAAAAATGCCTTACCATCTTGATGTGGGGCCAAAGTTGGGACCACAGAAGTAAAACACGGATTAGATGTAAGAAAGATATATTAACAACAGGTTACAGAGATAGTGTAAGCGGGGCTTACTATTAAGTTAGTGTCCAATACTGGTAGTCGTACGCGGCTCTCACTGTCTCTGTGTCTCTCTCTGTCACTCTCTGTGTCTCTGTGTAGAGTGTTATGTCGCATACTTAATATAAACCTGGAAGAATCTATTGTGTAGGTAGTTCCGGTCTCACAATACATCTAAAAACATTTTCAGATTTTAAATAACCCGCAATAGGTTGATAAGCCGTAAAAAAAAACGTATCACTTGTTCAACTAAATTTTATCTTTAAAAAAGGTCGAACAAATATATAAACTCAATAGCTTTATATACCTCAAGGAAAGTTGTTATATATGGTCTGGTGCCCTGCTGTAAGTTTCAAGGTCCTCGACAAAATCCAGAGACGGATATGCAAAGTGATAGGTCCTGATCTGGCATCTAGTCTACAGTCGCTTTCTCACAGACGGGCCGTCGCTTCCCCCTGTCTCTCCTATAAGTGTTTTCATGACAACTGTTCCGACGAGTTACTTTCGCTGGTTCCCAGACTGCATGAATTTAAGCGAGCTACTAGGTTGGCATCTCGGTCCCACTCTTTCAGTGTCAAAACGGTTAAATAGAACCGCCTCTTCTACTTAAAGAGATCCTTCTCTCGCACTTCCCCTCTGTGGAATTCTCTTCTCTTTACTTGCTTCCCTATAATCTTCAAATATTCAAGTGTAATGTCAATCGACATCTTCTGATACCTTGATCTTGTTCCCCGTCTTTCTCTTTATCCTTTCCTCAAACACACCGTTTTACTCTTGTTCTCTACCCTCTGTAACCCCTTGCGTGCTAGTGGCACTCCCGCCTTGCTTGGGGTGAAATGCTTAAAAAAAAAAAATAGCGGAAATTTCATACATTTACGAACGCACCTGTAAAAAAAAATAAGCACAAAATTAGAAAGTTAACAATTTGCAACCTGCTTGATAGGAAGAAATAATTTTCTCTCGTGTAATAATTAGTAATTTCGTAATCAAACCACTGCGCCAGCAATCGAAAGTTAGAGCGAATTAGTAATGCATATTTACTATGTAAGACCCAAAATGAAGAGAATCAAACGAAGAAAATAGTGCTGCGCCAATTTTCCAAGTACCAGGAATGCCTGTATGATGAGAAAATCAATATTCGTCAATGCTCGAATTACGGTAACTTAATATATTATATCTAAGACCAGATTGGCTGACGGTGTTGCCGGAAGCAAGTCAATTTTAACAACCAACCGCCGTAGGGTCCCCACTCCAGATTTTCTACATAAATTTATTTCAGTAACCTTTTCTATGTTTAGATATCACTGCAAGGCAACAGAGGTTTGAATTCAGAGTTGTCCTATGCCTCTGCCGGTTGCCTTACCACAGCTAAAGAGCCTAGTCTGCCGTATTATATTGATGTTTGTCTGAGAGACCTATATATGTGGCCTACTTCAACTCACTCTCCAAAAATGCTCTCTAAACCTTATCACAGTTGGGGCAATCTATAAATTCCTTCCGCCAGACACGGTCTGTCATTCTAGACTTCTCGGACTTATCTTTGTTTAGAGTAACAGTTCTTAATAGAGAGAAACACGCATTCAAAACACTAAGAATATTCCCGAGAAACGGGGAAATTCCTTTAGAAATCATATAATGGAATACCTATGTCCCCCCTCACTGGAACATGATTGGCTGGTGTCCGTCATAAATACCGACGGACGTGTAGGAGAGTCGAGAGCCTTAGTCTGAGAGCTAAGTGTATAACGACGCCCATTGGACTACGCTATTGATCTACACTTCTTACCTGCGACTACGACGCGTACCAGTCGATTACTGCTACCGCATTCTACTTGGTTATAGTAGCCAAAACCACTTAGCTACTTCGTTCAAATAGATCCCTTTCAGGGACATATCATATATATATATATATATATATATATATATATATATATATATATATATATATATATATATGATATAATGGAATGTGCGTACACCTGTGTTCCTCCTCACTGGAATATGATTGGCTGGTGTCCGTCATAAATACCGACGGACAGGTAGGGGGGAGAAGTCAAGAGCCTTAGTCTGAGAGCTAAGTCTATAACGACGCCCATTGGACTACGCTATTGATCTACACATGTTACCTGCGACTACGACGCGTACCAATCGATTACTGCTACCGTATTCTACTTGGTTATTTTAGCCAAAACCACTTAGCTACTTCGTTCAAATAGATCCCTTTCGGGGATATATCAAGAAACAAACAAAAGGATTGCTATGTATTATTCGTCCAGTGAGTGCTGGACGATTTCTCTAAGTATGAGAAAGGAAAACTGGAGGCAGCGGAAATTTGGTTCTACAGAAGGATACTGAGAATTCCATGGATGGCGCCAGTAAGCAACGGAGATGTCTTAAAGAAAATGGCAACAGAAAGAACACATACTCAGGATCGGGAAGGGACAGTTGAAATTCCTTGGATAATGAGGAAAGTGGGCTTGGAATACTTGACCCTCACAGGCATATTGAGGGCAAAAGTGATAGGGGAAGGCAGCGAACCACTTACCTGACGGACCTGCGTGAATGGATGACAGGGCGAGTGGCGCGAAGGCCTTAGAAAAGGGAGAAAAACTGTTAAAATCTACACGAGATGGAATGTTAGAAATGGAGATAAATAGGACACGTGTAACTCAGAATCAGAAAGAGACAGGTGTTTTTTTAGGGAGGGGGGGGGTAAAAAGGAGGTCAGTAGGCTTGAAGAAATTGACACTCACAGAAAATACGAAGGCAAAAGGAGCAGGAAGATGTAGCGTGCAACACCCGTAACTTGCTTTTTGGAACGGGTTGGGGGTGTTAAAGCGGTAAAAAAAGATACAGTGTAACCCGGATGTAAGAGAGTTGTCGGGACCGGAGAAGAAGTCTCTTATATCCGGGTTTCTCTTATATCCTGGTTTGGTCTAATTTATATACATTAACACAGGCTCTAATTTGGGACCAGAGAAAATCTATCTTATATTCGGGTTTCTCTTATATCCGGGTTACACTGTAATATTTTCTAAGAGCTAAGATCGGAGGTTGTAGAGCTACGATCGCCCACGTCGTAAAGGGACACGGAACATCCAAGATCAGGAACCTCCTGAAGATTTATAGCATCCCCATAGCTTAGGTGTTCATAATCCTCACAAAAAAGTTGTTAGCGCTAATTTTGACAATAAATGGGTTACAAATATACGCGCTTTGGGTTTGATTGTAAGTGGACGGCTGGTTTCTCCCCACATAATATTTTTTTATCGATATGTTTTTTACGGATTATCAACCCTTTGCAGGTTATTTAAAGCCAGAAAATATTTTTTTCAGATAATGATTTATCGATAGAAGGAATCGGTGTTTCTAAATGATGTGGCGGTAAACCGACTTTCTCACGGATATTTTTCTCACGTGAAAGGGAATATAACAAATCCGGCTAGAATTGAAACCGGCTCTCCGATTAACAATTCCGAGCCGTTGTCCATGACATAATCCGCACATCCAAGCTTACACCACCTGGTATTCCCAAGTAGTCACCCATCTAGGTACTGACCGGAATCGACGTTGCTTAACTTCGGTGATCGTACGGGATCCGATAATTTCAATGTGATATGTCTGTTATCACAAATGAAGCGTATGTTATAAATTCAGTAGAGCCTGATTAAACCAAAAAAATGGAGTATTGCTATCATATAAGACCTACACAATCTTATGGCGGGAAATATATTCTCCATTCTACAATATCTTTCACTTGGAAGCAACATTACAAGCCTGAGGCTACTTTGCTCCTATTTCTCAGGCAAATGATTAAAAAAGAACCAGTTATTAATTCCACCAGTTCAAACTCTTACAAGTAGCAGAAGCTATGCCACTTCCCTAGAGTTGAATCATCCCCATTTCTTCCCTGTTTCAACCATAAGAAGAAAATCCCACTCATTTTTTCCCCGAGAAACGTTACTTTACGAAACAGGCTCCTGCGTGAATGCTTCCCTGACCACTACAATCTTAATGGCCAAGTTGTTACAATTAAATTAACGGCTGTCCGTTTGTATTCAAACATAAATGTTATCTCTCTATATCTCTGAGATGATGTATTATGATTACTTGCATCATTTACATTATTCGGACTGTTATAAGCATCTTCATTGCCATATTCACAACGTTTCAGCTGTTGTACGCTCCGGCCTTCTTCAGGTGATTTGAATTTCGAGTTCTCAAGGACACATAGCCAAATGGATAAAGACGTTGGTTAGATCCAGTGACTAGACCTAAACAGTTGTGAGTTCAATACCAGGCCACAGCAGTGGTGAAACAAAAAACGTGGAGAGTTGAGTTAAAGGGAAATAACTAAGATATCCAGAAGAGGCATGGCACGTGGAACTAGAAAAATCTACCCCGGTGGATGAAATAAAGCATTCGGTTGGAAATTTCTATAACTTGAAGAAGACCGGAGAGTACAACGACCGAAACGTTGTGAATATGGCAATGAAGATGGGGATAACAGGCCGAATAATGTAAATAATGCAAGTAATCATAATACCTCATCTCAGAGATATAGACAGAAAGCGTTTACTTTTTTATCGATATATTTGCTGCTGATGTCGGACTGATTCCCTCAGAAACGTCACTTTATGAAAAAAGGCTCCCGCGTGGATGCTTCCCTGAATGTTACACTCTTAATTACTAAGTTGTTACAATTAGATTATCGGCTGCCGGACTGAATTCAAACATTAATGTTATTGTTTTTTTTTTCATCTGCGAAGAGTTTTGACGCCGTGTTCAAGAAATGTTGAACGAGAAAATTTTAAATGTTTTATTTCCTTTTCCCATCTTTCCAAAATAAATAAATAAAACATAATAAGGAAAATAATTAGAAAAACAATTCCAGTTCTTGGATAACCTACGTCAGTGTCTGCCACGAAGATTCCTGGTCGATTAGACACGGGCAAGGAGATTGCGCAGTCAGATAAGGGAATCGAGCTGAAGTGATTGAATTTCATGCTTCTAATGATGTCTGCGACTCTATATTTTTTTCTTCATCACGTCTTTCCTTTTAGAATCGACGCATAAGCTATTTACGATTGATTAATGACAAATCTCCCCACCCCAAAAATAAGCTGATTGCAATGGATAGCGAAATACTAGATTTATTACTGGCCTCTGTGTGCTAACGACGACCGCCATCGGCCACCGTTCGTAGCAAACCGCTTCCGCTGCATTCCAAACTGCAATCAAATATTTGCAGCTAACAACAAGAGTATCGAAAATATGTTAATCAAATAAACCAAGAAGAAATTGCTATAGATTTTATTATGGCCTGAAGATTGCGTTTAGCATGAGACACAAAAGGTTACTTTGTGCGAAGGAATCGGAAAAAAGAAAAAAGAGAAGCTTTATTAAGGAGTGAGAACAATAAAAGAGGGATCAAGAAGAGAGTAGATAATGATTGACATTATATTCAAATTTTTGAAAATCAAACTTGACTGGAAAACAAGAAGAGAGTTCAAAGGGAGAGAACTGCAAAAAAACTGCTAGCATAGAACACGGTTTACATCTAGCCATTTCAATGGCAAAGTGAGATAATTTGACATTATATTCAAATTTTTGAAAATCAAACTTGACTGGAAAAAAGAAATTCCTGAGGGGGAGAACTGCAAAAAAGAAAAGCATGGAACTTGCAGTTTACATCTAGCCATTTAATTAATAATGATTGACATTATATTCAAATTTTTGAAAATCAAACTTGACTGGAAAACAAGAAGAGGTTCCTGAGGAGAGAACTGCAAGAAAAAAAAGAAACACTAGATAGAACTTACAGTTATCTGCCATTTTTCAATGTGAAAGAGGAAGTATAATGATTGACATTATATTCAAATTTTTTGAAAATCAAACTTGACTGGAAAACAAGAAGGGTTCCAAAGGGAAGAACTGCAGAAAAGAACTGCTAGCATAGAACTTTGATTTAATCTAACCATTTTCAATGGAAGAACTTATATTCAAATTTTGAAAATCAAAACTTGACTGGAAAGCAAAAAAGGGTTCCACAAGGAGAGAACTGCAAGAAAAGAAACTGTTAGCATAGAACTTACAGTTACATCTAGCCAATTCAATGGCAAAATGATAAGATTTTGCTGCCAATCTAGTATTGAGTATAAATTTATAAAGTCTAGCTACCATAGAGGAATGTTAGCCAGAACAATTGCCATGAAGGTATTGCCATTAGAGTTTAAAATGTTTAAAAGTTGCTCCAATAAGTTCATTTACTGATGCTTACAGCTTAACCCAATTAGTGCCTACTGTCCATTTTTAGGTATTAATCAGTTATAGGTAGAAAGCCATAATTAATGCTGGATTTTTATAACCCCGTAATCATGGCTGATTTTCATGAACCTGTAATTAATGCCACACTTTCATAAAACTGTAATATTTTATTTATTTTTAATTATATCACCCCAGGCAAGGTGATAAAGCCACTAAGACCCAAAGTGTTACTGAGTGTGTAAGAATAAGAAGAAAAAAAGAGAAACATTATTAAGAAGCGAGAACAATAGAAGAGTATTCAAGAAAACAGCAGATATCGATTGACATTACATTCAAATTTTTGAAGATCAAAGTTGGTTGGAACGCATGAAGGCGGAAGAGAGTTCCACAGGTGAGAAGTGCGAGAAAAAAAAACTCTTAGCATACAACTTATAGTTACATCTAGCCAACTCAGCTGTAGATTGATGAGTTCTTATTGCCAATACTAGGTTTAATTTCAAATTTTAAAATATTTGCAGCAAGCAACAAGAGTATCGATCATTTGTATTCCCCACTGGAGTTTGGTTTGGTTCCTTTTGTTTATATATACAGTAGACTAGTGTCAATGGGTTATTTAATGCCGACAAGTGCTTTATTACTAGTAATTTTTTTTCAAAGAAAGTATTGCTGGCAATATTTTTTCCAAAAAATATATTGCTGGTAATATTTTTGCTATAAAAATGTATTGCTGGTTATAATCTTTTCTTCAAAAATGTATTGCTGGTAATATTTTTTCTTCAAAAATTCACTGTTGGTAATATTTTTACAAATATGTATTGCTTGTATTAAAACCCGTGTTTACACTTTCATAGTGTTTTGACCCCAGTTTGGGGGTTAACTATTTGCCCATAGCTGGGACCTTAACAGCTGCTACCACCCGAGGTCAATGTGGACATGGGACACCAGCAATGAAGAGGTGGTTCCACGCTCCTCAAAACCTCCTGATCTGAGGCCTTGCTCTTGGATGTAGTTTATCGTCTTACGCAGGATGTGGAGGCAGTTTATCGTCATACCCAGATGTAGTTTATCGTCTTACCCAGGACGCGGATGTAGTTTATCGTCTTACCCAGGACGCGGATGCAGTTTATCGTCTTACCCATGACGCGGATGTAGTTTATCGTCTTACCCAGGACGCGGATGTAGTTTATCGTCTTACCCAGGACGCGGATGCAGTTTATCGTCTTACCCAGGGGCGCAGATGTAGTTTGCGTCTCACCCAGGACGTTCTGTCTGTCCTACAAATGAACCAATATACACGTAATCCAATCTATTTTATTTTCGCCGAATCGAATGTATTAGAAGCTAGGTCTATAAAAGTAAACACGAATTTTCAATGAAAATAATATAAAACGCACTCACTGATAGCGCCAAATTTTGTATTCTGAATACAACGTCCCTTTCTCATAGACGAGATATGGCAAGCCTCTCACTGCTCTATCGCTACTTCCACGGAAAGTGCTCAGCCGCACTACATTCCTTACTTCCGCCAGTTCTAACCTCCACGCACATTTTATCGAACCACCCTCACTCCCTACGAATTCCACTGGCGAGATGTAAGTTCCAATCTAGCAGCACCTTTCCACGAACCATAGCTCTTTGGACCCGAATTCCAAGTGGATGTTTCCCCGATCATTACAATTTTAACCTGTTCAAGTCTAGGGTTAACCGTTATCTTCCTCACCTATCCGTATAAACGGTACCTCTTACTCTGTAACCCTTGAGTGGAACCCGGGCCTTTTACAGGATGAACTTTACTGTAAAAAAATTCTTCTTGCAGTATGTCATTTTGAGATTTTTTTTTAATCATCTCACTCCATACGAGGCATTAAAGCCACTAAGACACAAGGGGTTACGGTGGGTGACGGAATAAGAAAAAAAAGAGAAACATTATTAAGGAATGAGAACAACAGAAGAGTAATCAAGAAGACAGTAGATAACAACTGACATTACATTTAAAATTTTGAAGATCAAAGTTGGCTTGAAGGCATGGAGACGGAAAAATGTTCCACAAGCGAGAAAGGAAACGCTTAGCATAGAACTTACGGTTACATTGAGCCAAATTAACTATAAAATGATGATATCTTATAGCCAATACTACGTTTAAATTCATAAAGTCTAGGTACCTTAGAGCAAAGTTAATGAGGACAATTACTATGAAGTTATAAAAATGGCACAGAGAAGCTATGAAAAGTTACTGAAGCTGAGATGCCAGGTCAGGACCGATATCATGGCAAAATCGTCTTTGATTTTTATCAAGAATCTCTAAATATATAGCAGCGGCACCGGACCATATGTTGCAGCAATTTTCGAAGCA